TTTGAATTCATCTAGTGAAATTGAGTTTTGTAGACTTCTAGCAGCTGGAATAGTTTCAACAAACTTTATTTGAAGAACTTGAGGTCTGTTAACTGGAAACCTGGAATCGAGTTTACCAGTTGAGACATCGGCTCGAAGGACTGGTGTCAGAAGTTCATTTAATGAACAGAAGCTGCTGTGTCACATAACTTGACATAAGACAGACCGACACAGGGAACACGAACACATCTTGCTTCCTGTCTTCTTTCGGTTCTTGTTTCTGTTTTGTGTTTGCTTGTTGTGTTTGTTTTCCTTTGACTGATCGTGCTGCGTCTGGAGCGAAAAGAAGGAGCTTGACGTCAGCATGTGGGAGTCGTGGAAGAAACATTCCTTTTGACACGGTATTGCTTTAGTTTAATTAGTTAGGGACTTACGCGCTGCGCTTGTGTTTGGTGTGCGTGGTTGACGTACGCGTCCGCCCGCGTAGTTCTGTAGGAATTTTGGAAGAAGCGTTGGATCTGACCGTGGATCTGTGCACGGCGCTTTTTCTACAACAAGAGTCTCAAGTTCTGTCGCTACCAACCCGTTGATCCTAGCATTAGTATCCCAAAGCACTAATTGGAACCCTGGTGGCTTGTCGGGAAGTCCTCCCGAGGCAAAACTTCCCAGTTCCCACAGGCCTTTGATCTGTCTGAAGAGATCAGGATATCGAACTGCAACCACTGCATGGTATGTCACAGGGCTAACCCTAGTGCTAGAGGGAAGCATTAACCCCCAAGCATGGATGTCACTCACTCCGGCGGTCTGGGAATTTAAAACTGCTTGTATGTCTTCAGCCATGGGTAGGAGAGTAGCGGCATGCTGCAAGATCCAGGCGAGGCGCACGAGGGACCGTGTAAAATTAATAGCGGTGCCTGCCAGCAGTTCTGAGTCCACAAAACGGGAGTACCGTTGCATATTTGGCTGGGCTGCTTCAAATTGGGCTCTCAGGCCTGGGAGCACTGGGTCTTCTGCATCCTGCGGCGAGAGGTGACTTGTCCAAAGCTGACCTAAAGTGGGCTGTCCTCGTTTGAGGATTTGACTAAGAGACGCCAAACCTTCATTGGCCGAATCATCTAGTAGTCGGATCATTGCATCAGCAAGGTTGGCTGGCATATAATAATTGCGGTCACTTCGCAGCCCATGCTTCTTTGCCAACAGGAGCTGTCGTGATCGTTTCGCGTTGCGAGCTGCACGATCAATGCCGCCGGGTGTCTGCTCAGAGTCTCCTGTCCACAAGATCAGGGGTTGCTGTCTCAGAGGCTGATGACTGCAATTTCTCGGTCAGTGCCATATTGCTGGCCTTCACAATGACCAGGAGGGAGAGCTCGTGCATAAAGCTACCTATTGTGGACCATTGCATGGTCAGATCCTGGGCTACCGTTCCTCCAGTGGCTAGAATTAAATGACACTTGTTCAGCATTTGCCTTCTTTCTCTCGGGTGTATGTCGAATTTCGTGTGGGAGTAACTACTTTTGTTATGTTCTTGGTCTCCCACTAGCCTACCTATGCGCCCAAACACCCCCGACGCGGGGTCGAGCCATAGGAGGAGGTCAGCAAAGGATCTAGTACCGGAGTTCTCTTCACAGATGAATAGTATTTTGAGGCTGTCAGTGGCATCGATTTCAATCAAGGCTAGGATGAGGATTGCCATCGATTTCGACTTGCCTGCTCCGAAAAGCCCTTAGATGCACAGATCTAACCGATTGGTAAGCAACGCCATTGTTACTGCGCAGAGTGTGCCCAAGACATGTCCATCGAGCTCTGCGGCAAAGGATAGTGCAGTGGAGCGGGTCCAGGGGTGAAGCTCGCCCTCTACATGACATGGGATGAGCACTAGGCGTAGCAACTGGCCGCACAAATGCAAAAAATGTGATCTTTTGTTGCCATCCATTCCTTCCACTGCCGTTTGGACATTATAGATGCCTAATCCCAGGTGGTATCTGCACGGGGGGGTTTGCGCGACAGGTAACCTCTCTGGTAGGCTTGGTACATCCGAACATCCACATTGTGTGTAGGATGTGTGTAGGAAGAAGGTCCCTGGGACCGGGCTTTTCTGCCCTTGGACGGTAGCATCAAGGGGATCCAGGTGCTGGCCGGAGGCCTCATACCAATCTTGAAGGGCTGCTAACTGTTCTTCTGCAAAAAATTCAATGGCTGGCCCTGAGAGAAAGGCTACTTCGATGAATCTGGGGTTGCACTGTCTGTATATGCGGGAGGCAGGCAGCTCATCTTTGCTTTTGGATGTGCGTGGCGTGATGGCTAGGACCAACCCAAATAGTATTTGAAGGTCTCCTTCGTCATCGGCTGGTTCTTCTGTCGTGCCTACCATGGCAACTAGCCTGCCCGTGCCAATGGGGCTAACTTTGTGATGGTGCGCATCGCTGGCTAGGAGGCTGAAAACTTCAACCAACATGCATTAACTTGGCTGAACTGGGGCAAAACCTCAGGTAAAGGGGAAGAAGCGGGCGGCTGCAGCTTCCAACCTGGGGAACGAACCACTACCGGCAGTCTGTCAGCGACACAAGAGTGCCGCGATACGAACTGCACCACCACAACGACTGTCAGGAAGCCCCACATCCGAGGCATCCGCAGGCATCCGCGCGTACGTTGGCAGATATGTGAAGCAAAATGGCTGGTTTTCTGGATCTTGCCTTGGTGCTGCAGTGACCTTTTTTGCGAAAAATGGTGCAGCTTTAACAAAAAGCAATACTCTTGCATGTGTAACGGAATGGCAGGATTCCGGGGAACACTGTTGCTGATTGAAGGTCTCTAGCCCCGCCTGCATGTTGCCAATCTTTGCCAAAGCACCATGTGGTTTGGAATTGTTTGGGTGTTGTTGTCGCAGGCTTTCGCAACATGGCGTGGGTGAGGTGCTGGTTCTGCTGCGACATTGCTGGCGGGATGCTTTTTTCTGTGTTTGCGTTGGCAGTGGATCGTTTTGTCACGATTGGGCGTCGCACTGCTCAAGGCGTCCCTGTGGAGTAGTTGGTAGGGACAGACTACCGGTGGTGGTTCGATTCCCCGCTGGTCCGCAGGTAAGCCTCAAAGTGGTGACCAGCCGAAAGGCACCTGGCACCGACCACAAAAAGGGCGTCGCACTGCTCAGTTTTGTTTTGGTCTCTTGATGCGTTGTTTGTTTTTGGGCTCCCCCTTCTTCGCCCCCCTAGACTCCTAACGCGGCAACTTTGCGGGTCGGGTTGTGTATGTCGCCCGGAGTTCAGTATCATCTGGTTAAAGAATAATAGTATATATTTAAAACCGGATGAATCCTTTGTTTACATTGGGGGAAGAGTTTCGATTTCATGACTCCAGCAGATTCCGTAAGAAGGCTAGAGATGCAAAACTTCGGTTTTACCACAGTTTTGTGCCAGCTTTGATGTCTTTAGCTGCGGAGTCTTGCCGGAGTCGGGCGGAGTCGGTACACCTGCTGAAACCCTATTTACACTGGGGAAAGGGTTGAAAGAGTTCCAACTTTGTGACTCCAGACGACTCCGCAAGAAACCGCAAGATGCGCAAGATGATGTCATGCACTGAACTGTTCGATTTGTTTGATGCCCATTTTTGGGGTTGGAAAGTATATAGAATTTGGACTCTCAAAAGCGGTCCTCCCTGTAAGATCCTCCAAAGTCCTTAAAATCTTGGTGTTTTTGGAAGAGCCAAGGTTTTACTGGGAAACATAAGATTTTTTTTCAACCTATGTAATTGTCTTCATATTTTACCTCAAACCCATGAGCTTGTGCGCATGTTTGTGCGTTTATGATTCAGTTTCCATTGTTTGTTTTTTAAGTCTTGATTTTCTTCACATCTACCCAACTTGCCCAAGTATAGGGACTTCCATGTGATTTCCATTTGCCTGTCCGATGAAAAGTGTTATTTCACGCGCCAGCCAGTCCCTACAGTAAATCAGAAAGCTTCATGCGGTCTTCCGACCTACTCTTACTGCGACATTGTTGGGGCCAAACGCGGCACATCCACATAAAAATCATCTTAAGGCTTGAGGTGGGGCTATCTTACGCTGTCATCTTCGCTCTCATCCTCACAGTGGTCGCGACATGGACTGCGCAAGGGGTTCTTAGACAACATCCTGCGACAAACCCAAACCTGCGGCCTGCCATTTGTACACGAGCTTGATCGGTTTTGTTCACTAGTAAGAAACCGGCCTCTTGTGTTTTGCAAAACCCGTTTCTTAAACCTGAAAACCTGTGTTTTGTGTTTTCTAGGTTTTTTGGTTTTGCAGGGGTGATCCGGTTTGTGGCTGCCATTTTGGGTCAAGTTGTGGTTTTGGTAGACCGCTGCTCTACCTTTCGTTTTCCTTTTCTTTTGGGCCATGGATCAACAGGTTTTGGGATGAGTGTTTTACTTCTCCAATCTTGCAACCTGATTTGATTTCTGTGGCATGTTTTGGAAGACGGTTTTCTTGTGCAGTTTCATTGGCATGATTCCTGCTGAAGCACCGGTGTGTGGTCAAAAGGTTTCGACGAAGTGTTCCTGCTGCACCTGCAACACCACATGCAGCTGAGCCAATTCCTTTTTCGTCATCAGGGTCATTTGAGCTTGTTACTCAGGATGCTGCATCTCATGAGGTGACGTTTTGGTCAGAACATGATGCCATGAGCTCAATTGCACCTGTTGACCTGTTTGGTTCAGACACTAACCCGGACGTTGACTTTCAACCTCGTTGGACTGGTTTGGGTACATATGATTTCAATTATCAACCTGGAGGATCTTCAGACCCATTGGGTACGGCTGGCAGGAGGGCTACATGGTTGGGAGCTTCGAGTGTGTCACCATGGTTGCCTCCTCAGACACGTACTCGTTCTTTTGCTGCACCTGTTTTTCAAAATGCAGCAGCGTTATGGAGACCACCTCATGCGGTTTGTAAGTCAAGGGCTTCATTGGAATCCAATGTTCATTTGGCAGTTCAACCTCAGCAGTCGGTATCTCCAGTGACCTTTTCCTCTAGGGTGATGTGCTCAGACATGCCAGTGGTGCGGACCCCATTGTCGACTCAGCTACAACAGGGACCTGTGCCATCAATGCAACAGGCATGGTCAGAGGCTAAGCTTGCGCTCAACCAACAGTGGCTTGACATTTTACAAGAAATGGGACGTGCTAGTGGTTTGGTGCAATCAACTGCCATCTCCAACCATGTGGATGAACACAGACTTCGTGTGCTATCCAAGTTTGCTCCAACCACTCTGCAATCTTATTTTCGCATTTGGAAACGGTGGCATGATTTTGCACGACAGTTGACAGTGTGCCCATTTCAGCCGAATGCCGCGATCCTGGCAGATTTCTTGGCAGAGCATGCACATGGACCTTTAGGTGTTGCCACTGCATACCATAAGGGATTGACATGGATGGCCAGATATGCACAACTGGATGACTTGTTTCAGGCCCTGCAGCAATCCGTGTGCAAGGCCTATCTGCACTCGGCCATCATCAGGGAGAAGCGTGAGTCGGCACCTCTTCCATTGTCGTTTGTGGTTTTTCTTGAAAAGATGGTACTTGCCAAAACCACCTCTGCATGCGATGTGTTACAGCTGGGGTCCTTGCTCTTCTTGATTTGGAGCAGCTTGCGTTGGTCGGATGCCTTGTGGGTGGACCCCCAGACGCTTACGATACAACAGCATGCCATGTTTGCTTTGGCGTCCCACACCAAGACGACAAACAGGGGTATGCCTATTGCATGTTTTGCTTTTGGACTTCTGGGACGTCATGGTCAGGTGGCATGGGCACAGGTGTGGCTCAATGTGGTTCAACAGGCATTGCATGACACCCAGCAGCGCTTCCCCACATTCAAAGTGGACTTCCTGCTGACAGAAGTGGGCCCAGACATGATGAAACCAGTTTTTCTTCGCCCAATGCCACGTGACAGAGGTTTGCAGTTACTGCGCTATTGGCTGTGCAAGTGCCATGAAGCTCACCAGGTACCTGCCCAGCCCTCTGATTTTCACCTTTTGGGAACACATTCCTGTAAAACGACATAGCTTTGCTGGGCCCAACAACTGCACTTGCCCTGGGAGCAAAGACAACTCCAGGGCCACCACAGGAGTTCGATTCATGGCTCAGTTTCATTGTATAGTAGGGATGACACCCTACCAGCGCTTGTGCTTCAGGGCACCATTGCCCAACGTATTGCAGAAGGCTTCAGGCCACTTAGGCCGATGTTGCGTGGAGGTGCTCCTTCACTTCCCGATTTTGCGATTTCTTTGCCTCCCTGGCAGCCTTTACCTTTTCAAGTGGTACCTCAGCCAGCTGTGACTGACCAGATGCCAGAGCGTGCCAAGGAATCGGATGATCCACAGGCACCATCTGATGCGGAAGACTCTGAAGCATCCGAAGAGTCGGCCATGGAAGACGAGGAACCTCTCAAAATTGCTGAGAAACTTGCGGAGGCCCCAGAAGAAATGGTGTTTTTGGTGAACCCGATTACGAAGGTTGCCCATCTGGCGATCCAATGTGACAGCTTGGACCGGGCACGGTGCTATGAAGACACCACTTTGCAGGCCTACAGAACTGGATGCGGGGCACGCCCCAATGCAATTTCAGGTGACTTACACTTCACCCATTGCTTGCCGGTTGGAGCCAGATTATGCCTGCGACGGGCATGTGCCAAGATCATGTCACATGTTGCCTGAAGGGAAAAAACAGCCGCAGCTGCAGTGATTTTAATTGCGTGTTGTATTTCATCATGGGGTGTGGGGTGTTTACTTAACACTGATGCCGCAGCATGTGTTTCAGTGTCATCACCGCTGTGATGTCCATGCAGCTCAACTCACGGGATGTCCATTTGACTCAGCATGGTGAGCACTGCATCTTGATTTGGCTCCAGATTCGAGACACCCCATTTTGATTTCCGCATGTCATGGACTTGAATTTCAATTGATAAACGTTTCATCAATTTTTGGACACTCGCATTTCGTGCAGGGTTACTTGGCATTTTCCATTTTGCTCTTGGATCGCAATGCCTCTTAGTCCTGTGCTGACATTCAACAACCGCACAACTGGCATGATTGCCCAGGCGGTCGCCTTGATGATGGTCTGGCTGGCCCCGAGAGGGGATGGAGCTTTGATTCGCTGCGAGAATGCGAAAGAAGCGCTGAATCGTGCATGTCAGCTCCTCTCAGTCCATGGTTCGTGGTCCTGGATGCCAAAGATGGCATGCGTGCTGGCTCGAACGATTGTGGGGCTTCAGTCAGAAGTAGCTCAACTCGAAAGCATTTGCTATCGCTCATGGGACTATAGACAACCATCACGGGCTGTGTTGGACAGCATTGCTGGCCTGTCTCCAGACACGGCGGCTCTATGGCAGTCGGAGCTGCATGCCGCAGCTATGCTTTTCGATGACTTTGCCGCAGAGCTTGCTCGGAGTGGGAACCTCGAGGTCTGGGGCACCATCCGCCATGCCGCTGATGGCACACGTGATTTGCATGACCTTGTGGGCGTGCACATTACCAGGGTGTCGCAGCTGAAGGACCCATAGGTCGTCCTTTTACGTTGATAGCATTGGCTGCACCAGATGCCCCCACCATATGTGGCATCTGTGAATTTTTTAGCATTCATGCAGAGCCCTCACTTGCTCTTGCCATTGCGACAAAAAGGTGTTGCCCGCTGGCAGCCTTAATGGAGCAGGATAAATCCTGCGGAACATGTGGCATGCCAACACCGCAGTGACATGCCTCACATTGTGATCTTGTTTGCATTCATTTTCGAATTTCTCACTTGCATTTTGATGATGGCAATCCACCATATTTCAATCAGTGGACATTGCGTGTTGGGCTCTCAGCACAGGGGACACATTTGCGTGTCGCAACAGTTTTCAGCATTTCAATTTTGTCTGCATTTTCTTTCATGCCAACCATTTGGAATTTTCAGTTGCCGTTTTTTCCTGTTTGGTTTGTTTCATTTGCGAGATTCTCACCATGGCACAGCTTGCACTGGACGATCCCGCTGCTTTGAAGAAGCTATTGGAAGATTGTGCAGTTCCAGCACCCACTGTTGCCAACTTGAATCTTTTAGGCTACCGTTCTGTAGCTTTGCTTGGTTTTGCAGTCCCCAGTGATGGACACGTGGATGAAATGATTGAAAAGTAGTTTGAGACGAGCTATCCGCCAATGCTACGAAGCGTGCCAGGCGAAAGGTGGCATTCCATGTGAACCCAACCTTGCAACAGCAGCCAAACCCAAGCTGTCTCTGTCAGAGTATAAGGAACTGAAGCTGAAGTTTGTTGAACACTTCCCAGGTGAATTGTTGACACCGGAATCCACTCCCAGCTTCATGTTTCTTGCCAGTTTGAAAGAGCAAGTGGATGCCGGCACTTGGACATGGACACCATGGCGTCATCGTATCTCTGAACATGCTGAGATGCTTTTTCAGGAAAATCGGAAGCCTCGATCAGATCATCAGTTACTTCAACGCATGCTTAACCAGCAGGAACTGATGGACTTCCCAGAAGCCAGCGTCCCGTCAGGTGGCCCAGTCGAACCAGTATTGATGCGATTTCAAACCTTGCTTGCAAACGCGCTGGCGATGTTGCAGTTAGTTCATTTGATTGTCATCAAGAAATTTCACCACAAGTTTAACGAGTTGGCTCTGGCTGCACCTGTGGATTCATCATTGCGATCTCCGAACTTGCAGGAGGTTCTGGCAGCAGATAAAGCCGTCTGGATGGCAGTGACTTCAGCCATGAGGGACAACAGCTGGTCCCTGAGTGACACCATGTCTGAAATCGCCTACTGTCGCCAGGACATGCAGACAGCCTTGCAGCCCAGACCTCGTTCTCTACATGCTCCAACGACTCCGAAGAAGGTGGAACCCAAGGCCACCCCGAAAAAGCCGGGTACTCCACCACCAGTTCGCAAGGATGATCGACTGAAAGACTGGAATGAGAGTTGGGTCAGAAAGACATTTGCCCCATTCCGAAGGCTGATGGAACGCCTTGCGCACAGAAGCATCCTGCCAAGTCGCACAAGGGTGCTCCACACTGACCAACGGACCAAGGGCCATCTTCAACTGTGGCCTTGGAGCCGCCCCCTGGCGATTTTTCTGTGGGAGCTTGGCCAGGTGCATCAGCCTCCGAGCCTATGGTTGTGGACAGTTTGCATGATTCATTTGCTTATTTCCTTGATATTTTTTCTGGCGCATCCTCTCCAGTCTCAGTGGCGGTGAGGGCTTTGCATGCAGATTCCATTGAACCAGTGGATTTAATTTTTGGACAGCATTGTGACTTGCTTGATGATTTGGTTTTTCAAAACGTCCTGGATTTGGCAGCATCAGGACTGATTGGAGCGGCCCTAGCGGCTCCATACTGTTCAAAACATTCTATGGCGACTCTTCGCCCTAACGGCCCCAAACCTGTTCGAACTCCGGCAGCTTTAGATGGATTGCCAACGAATACTGCCCTACAGGACCTTCAAGTCCAAGAATCAGCCACAGTGCATGATCGGGCACGGCACATCTTGACCTTGGTGGCAGCGAAGGGTGGCATTGTCGTCATTGAAAATCCTCTGACCAGCATGACATGGCTGGACGGGCTTATGAGTGCTTGGGTCAGGGCTACATCCCCCTACCTTGCCGCGGCAGCCGCTTGCAGGTTTGGGGAGGACTGGCAGAAGTCCTGGCTGTTTTGCTCCAACAAAGTGGACATCCTTGCCATTGGTTTGGGCTGTGATCACAACCCCAAGTCACATTTGAATTTTGCAGGCCTTCGACTTCCGGATGGTTCATTCTATAGTCGGCTTACAGCTTGCTATCCCAAAAGGTTGGCAGAAGCTCTGGCGCAGGTCTTTTTGCCCTATCTGTCCCGCCATTCGAAGGTGGCTACATTGCAAGCATGGCCCTCCTGTTTGCCCTCCACCTTTACTGCTCAGCCATTGACCCAACGGGTTGAGGACGGGGGTGGTCTTATTAGTACTGCAGTGTGGCATTCCCCACAAGCCCCAGATGTGTTGGGAGGCTTGCGCAAGCGTTGGACCTCTCGAATCCTCCGCATGGGGCTTCATTCACATATCTTGTCGCATTTTGCAACGGGGTCCAAAGATCCCCCATTATCTGACCATCAGCTGCAGGGTTTTTTGATGGATGTGCGCGAGTTTGTGGATGTTCCTGATCAGATTTGGGATCAAGCTCTGCCAGTTGCTCCTGGTCAACCATTTCGATTGGACCTCTGGCGACTTCTTTTGCGAGAGATGAATGATCCTGACATTGCATTTCTTGATGAACTTGTGAGTGGGGTACGACTGGGAGTCAACAATGACATCCCAGCTTCCTCTTTGTGGCCCCTACAACAGTCAACTGTTTCGGATGACCAGGAATTGCTGCAATGTGAATCTTCATGGAAGAGCGCCTTGGACCAACCTGAAGTGGTTTGGCAATTGCTCCAGGATGAGATTGATGCAGGTTTTATTGAACGTGTTCCTGGAGGCCTTGCACAGCTTCAACATGAACACGAGCATACAGCAGTCGGCAAGCTTGGATTGGTTTGTGCTGACAATAGACCGCCACGATTGGTGGTCGACTCAACCATTGCAGGTGTCACACACAATACATCCATCCCAAATCGTATGCTGCTGCCCAAAATCTCTGACCTTTTGCAGGCCGCTCCATTGACATCTTCCTCTTTGGAGCTTACCGCCTTCACTTTGGATGTCTCGAAGGCCCATCGCCGGATTAAAATAGACCCTCGTGACCAAGGCTTGCTATGCTTTTGGTATCAAGATGTCCTGTTCAAGAGCAAAACCTTGAACTTTGGTGCCAGGGCCAGTGGATATTTTTGGGCACGTGTTGCAGGTTTGATGGTACGCACCTTCCATCGCCTATTGCATGTCAGACATGCCCTTTTTCAGTATGTTGATGATCTGCTGGTGCTTCTCGAAGCGGCCACATCTCCCATTTGGATTGGTGTACTTACCATTGCATGTCAAATTTTGGGCATCCCGATGTCCTGGCACAAAACTGACTGGGGTCCTGCCGTGACATGGATCGGCTGGCACATCAATGTTCGTCGATGGGTGGTTTCGATCACTCCTGACAAACGCGAGAAAATCCTGATTCAAATCGAATCTTTGCTGCGATCATCACGACGTGATTTAAAGGTATTGGAATCACTTACAGGGCGACTACTTTGGGTTTCATCGTTATGGGAGACTCTACGCCCTTTATTGGGACCACTGTATCATGCGATGATGACTGTCCCTCTCACCCTGGTTTCCATTTCACCGCATCAATGGCCTGAACTTCTTGATATTCTGCAGGAGGATATGTGTCTGTCGAAGTCGATGACCCACCCTTCCCTGCGCAAGTCTGTGAAAGTCGTTCGTGTGGCCAACTTCACATTGCGTGATCGTGAACACGCCAAATCATTGCACTTCAAGTCTCGCAGGATATGGCTGGGCATTCAAATACCTGGCTCCAGCAAACGCAAACTGCTGCCTGACACGCATGAGGCCCTGCAGGCTTGGAAAGATGTCCTCATTGGTACTCCTTTCCTTCATGACATGGTACCGCCTCACCATATACCTCTTCAAGCCTCAGCTGATGCATGCGCAACTGCGAATGAAGCGGGGTTGGGCGGCGTTATTCGTATGAATGGTTCGGTGATGGCCTGGTTTGCATTCACAATTTCACATTCCGAAGCAAAGTCAATTTTTCCATGGGTTTCTGACTCGATGCAGAAACACATTAACGTTTGGGAACTTCTTGGTCAATTTTCATTAGCGTATTGCTTGGATTGCTCGTTGAAGGGTCGTCATACCCCCATTGCAGTCACATTTGCTTGTGACAACACATCGGCTGAAGCAGCGCATTTGAAAGCTCTGTCAACCTCTGCAGGCATGTGTCACATATTGGCGGCCTTTTTCCGTTTCCAACGCATCCACAACATTGATGTGACCATCCAGCATATCCCAGGTATATGGAATGACGATGCTGATGCGTTGAGTCGTGGTAGGCACATTCCTTCTTGCACTCCGGAACTACGCATTGAAGTTCCCTGGAAATGGCTCTGCTCCGCCATACCGAAATTTTCACCTAGTCAAGCTCGAATCCCATCCACTTTGCTGTCCCGCTGAGTCCAAAAGTCGTGGCATTTGACATGGTTGCACATCGATTTGCATTTGGGGGTTTTGATCCTTTCGGTCGATGTTCTCGATTTTATTTGGGTTTCCAAAACCCCCTGATCAAATTTTGTGATAACCATTTGTTATCACTGGTTTGGCTTCTTGTTATACCGCTGTATAACATAACATGTACTTAGTCCGTTGACTATTTGTCGCCACGCGTAAAACAGGATGCATGCTGCGGATAGCGTCTTTGGGAATTCAAAACTGTTTTTTGTACTCCCTACTTCTTTTCTTTATTTTGGGTATCTAGATTTTATCTCTTCGCGTCACCCACAACTTGAGCAACGGAAGGCGTACTAGTGAACTGTACACGAGCTTGATCGGTTTTGTTCACTAGTAAGAAACCGGCCTCTTGTGTTTTGCAAAACCCGTTTCTTAAACTTGAAAACCTGTGTTTTGTGTTTTCTAGGTTTTTTGGTTTCGCAGGGGTGATCCGGTTTGTGGCTGCCATTTTGGGTCAAGTTGTGGTTTTGGTAGACCGCTGCTCTACCTTTCGTTTTCCTTTTCCCACCACCGTCCCCTTGACAGCCTCCTCACCCTGGTGCCAGCGTTATGTCACCTGGTCTCTTTCGGGCTCCCCGCTGGGCTGTTTCCCGTTTCTTCCTTTCTTGTGTTCCCGCTGGCTCACTGTTGTCTCTTCTAATTGATCTGGGTTTCCAAAACCCCCTGATCAAATTTTGTGATAACCATTTGTTATCACTGGTTTGGCTTCTTGTTATACCGCTGTATAACATAACATGTACTTAGTCCGTTGACTATTTGTCGCCACGCGTAAAACAGGATGCATGCTGCGGATAGCGTCTTTGGGAATTCAAAACTGTTTTTTGTACTCCCTACTTCTTTTCTTTATTTTGGGTATCTAGATTTTATCTCTTCGCGTCACCCACAACTTGAGCAACGGAAGGCGTACTAGTGAACACACAAGAACAGAATCACAGGATCAACAAAAATAACAAGAACCCCCAAACAGGGGCCCATTGCCTGGAAACTATGTTGGTATGGTTGCCTGCGTGCCTACTACTTTAAAGAAACGGCACAAAAACTAGAATTTTGCGCAGTCTGACATTCTTGAAGGTTTAGGTCCTTAAAATCTGGAAATCTTTGACATCTGATGCTTCAAGCCTAAAATCGGCAATAAAATGCGAAAATAAGCTGCAGGATGGCAAAATTAGAGATTTCCGGGGCTGAAACTGATGAAAAGTGTGCCTGGCGCCAAGAAAAGGCCTATTTGGAAAGTCACCGGGGCTGGATAGGAAAAAAACAATCCCACACTGAACCCGCACCAGACCCGAACGAAACCCGAACAAGTTCCGAACAAGTTCCGACCAAGTTCGGCCGCAAAAATTGCAAAAAAAAAACAAACCCGAACGAAACCCGAACAAGTCCCGAACAAGTTCCGAACAAGTCTGGGCCCCTGAAGCACTGTAAACAGAGGTCTGGCACAAAAATGCCATTGTGAAGGTCTTCGGATCAGTCAAGAGCGAAAACGTGCAGAAAGTTCTGGTTTTTCATGGAGAAACAGGAAAAATCACTCAAATAACGTGTTTCAATAAAAATTGTTTGAAATTGTTTGTTTTTCAACGTGAAATTGAAAAAAATTGAAAAAAAATGCTGGTGTCGAGACGCAAGCTCAGAAGCAACTGTGCAAAACCGAAACCGAGAAATTTAATTATCGGCTTGCCAAATGTTGGCACTCAATGTTGAAAAATGATGTGCTCCGATTTGGGGCAGAAACCTGCTTCAGTTTCGGGGGCTACGATATCGCCCCCAAAGAAATGAAACCACCAGGCCACCAGGCCCATGAAGTCACAGCTCATGCAACACTTTTTCCTTGGAAGCATCCTGGACCTTCTGGCGTTGCTGCTCAGCTCCATCGCATATTTGCTTCTTCTTCAATGGTGAAAATGGCGTCCTATAAATTTTTCAAAATTATGCCAATGGATTCCGCGTTAAAACATCATTTATGGAAAGTATGCCTGGCAGAATTCAAGCTGCTGTGCCATTCATAAAAATTGGAAATGTAATTTTTGTCTTGGGCCCTGGAACTGCCACAGCTGTGACAGCGTCTGCGAATGGTTTTTGGCAGTTTTGAAACGATAAGCTTCCATTTTCCTGGATCCAAATTATCTTGCTTTGTTTTTCTTTTTTTCAACTGGGGACTGCTATGTCATGGAGCGCATTGATGAGTTCACAGCCCTTGCCTACCATTTCCAGTCAATATCATGGGCCCATTTCCAGTACATGGAACCTACAGAGTTTTGGGGTCTCCAGCATGAAACAACTTGATTTTAAGGACTTAGAGGATCTCACAGTCCTCCCCAGTAGGTTGGTAGAAATCGCAAGGGCTTGTAACCATCCTGATATAAATTTTCCAAATTGATTCCTACCTGCTTCTTCCTATAGGTTCCTATGAGTTCTCCAGTTCACAGATCGGTTCCTACAAACTTAAATTGGTTTCCTCACTGTTCACCTGCACATACATTATTCCAAGCGCAGAAGAACAACGCAGGGACAAACACATTTACTTTTGCGTGGGTGTGAGATGTTGGCAAAATTTGTTCAACAAGGCAGATGCGGTGGAATGAATGAAGTGCAGGTTGAAGGAACCCTGTGTTTTTTCATCTATGGTGCTGTTGCAGATATGTGCTTTATTGGGTTTTTTTTTGGCCGGCGCCGTGTGCCTTTCGGCGGGTCACCGCTTTGAGACTTACCCGTCTACCACGTCACGATCGCGGCCCCGTACCCGGGGGGAATCGATCCGCGGCTAGCTGTCTATGCACGGTCCTGAGACGGGCATTATACCACTACGCGACGAGATCGCCTGATATGTGCTTTATTGGGAAGTTTTTCTTGCTTTGTGAGGAGGAGTTTCGTGTCATGCATGATTTGAATTTTCTCCTTGTTTCTGGAGTCGCTCGGTTTCTTTGTCGCAAAATTGTTGAAATTAAAAAAGATCACAACACACTGTTATTTTTTTGCTTGGATCCCGTCGGAGCACGGACTTCTTCTTCGCTTTGCTTGTGGAAATATCCAGTATTTGTGGCTGGTGAGCGAGGAAAACTTCTGGCTTTGTGCATATTTGGATGAACGAGCTGAAGTGGTACAGTGTGCGAGTTCTGCTTTGGTGGGGCGTGCATATTCTGCTTTGGAGAATTCAATGCTAGCATTCTTTGAGGAAGCAATTTGGAATTCGTGACTCTGGTCACCGGAAAAATGCTCGGGTGAGACTACATCAATTGGCCTGACCAATTGAGGTAGTGTCATCTTAGTGTTCGGAATTGTGTTTGGATATTGCATTGATATAACATTCGTGGATGCGGTGAGACCGTTATCTGTTGGGATCTGTTTTATGGTAACCATGAATATTTGTGAATAGATGCGAAGCCTGGAGCACTTTTCGGACATGTCTTGATGACACTGAAGAGTTCTGGATTGTTCTGTGAACGTTTGCATGCATTTGGAACCAATCTGAATTGAGGACGTTTGAATGCATGAGTGCATTTGAAGTAATTCAAGAATGGGAACATTTGAATGCAAGTGGAATCGTATGCATAGAAAGTGTTTATGAATTCAAAGAACCTGGAATGGAGTTTCCAGAAACCCACAGAATTTTTCAGCGAAAGTTGCGTTCTGTGAACTTTACTTTTGTGGGAAACTTTCATAGAAAGTTTCCGGACTGTGGTGAACCAATTTGAGCTTTGAACTTTGGACTAAACTGAGTTTAGAGTGGCTGCTTGTTAGTAGCTGTGTGTGTAACTGT